CATGTCTTCCCCAAAATGTTTCTGTTTTAAAAGTTGTAGAGGGCCAGGGATTTAGCTCAGTGGCACTGTGCCTGCCCGGCAAGCACAAGGTCCTGAGTTCGATCCCCAGTATGGAAAAATAAATACAAAATAAAAGCCATAGATAAGCCAAGGTTGATGATGCTAGCTAGCCATTTGCTAGTTATGAGCCTCGATTCCCTATTAGAGCAACATCAGCTAAGAGGCCACACTAGTAACCGTACTGGTTGATTATCATTTGACCCACCTCATACTCATTTCACGATTTTGTTCTATGAAACATTCTTGGGAAAATGGCCTCAGTGGCAACCTACTTTCAAGACTTCTCCTGTCTCTCAGGAGGTATCTCTCAATAAACTTTTCCTACTCTTAATCCCCATTGTTCCTCAAAATTCATTCCTTGATATTCAGGGACACAAACTCGGCACATCTGACATCTAGCAGGTTAAGAGTTATATGTCTCCTATAGCATTTGGAATATTGAATGGGGTCAAATTGGAGGACTGTGGTGTGTGACAAATGTCTGTCCAGATGTGTTGGCAGACTTCAGTCTTTCTTACTGTGATATGAATTCAGTTAATGAACATTCAGAGAAGGGACTGAGGTCATTGTTCCTTCCTTAGTGAGACAGGAGTTGAAGCAGATCCAGAGATGCTGGAGTAGAGACAGCATCTGCTATCACCTGCTGTTCTCTGAGTTCCTTTAATTAAAAATAACCAGTTTGCATCATATTTTGGGGTGACCATCCTCAGACTCCTTTAGTTCTTCCCTCTTCTGCACAGCCAATGCGTCAAATTCTGGAGACATCTTTTTGGTGCCACAAATGGCGTTTCCCCAGTGGAGGGGAAGGGAGCTGCGGACATTTCACAGTACACATGACAGGAGAGTCCCCACAACAAAGACCCACCCAGCCCCAGATGTCAGTGGGCCAGGGCTTCAGATGCAGGAGGTGTCCTGGGGTTTTTGTGGAGTGATGAAAAATATTTATTAAAAAAACATTAAAAGTAATTACTTGTTTTTGCAGTGCTAGGAATTGAACCCAGGGCCTTAAGCATTCTAGACAAATGCTCCACCACTGACCTGCACTCCCAGCCTGAAAGATTTAATTTTTTTATGACTGATGACACAACTGAGGCAAAGAACACCCCTGTCTTGGTGCGATGTCTTACAAGTCTGACACCTGCTCCCCGAGGTGAAGATGAGCAGTGAGCGGGCGAGCACAACCTCTCAGCAGCCTGGTCCTGGCTTGACTCAGGTGACGCCGGTCCCTGCCTTTGCTTCCTTGGCTAAGCACTTGCGGATTATCCCTCGTGAAGTTGAGCCTGTGCTGGGTCCTGAGGACAAAGTGAACCTACAAATACCGTTTGTATTCGCAGGTTGCACTCCGGTAGTGGTGCAGGTGACGTAGGCTAGAAGAAATACAACCTGCGTAGGAAGGAAATAAGGACGCTGAGATTTTAAAACTTGTAGTCTTTAAGAAGAATTGCAGCTTCAGGACACAAGCCCAGATTATTTATTTATGGTATTTTTCTCATTTTCTCCCCAAACATAGTAAACCTGGACAACTCTCTTTCACCTCTGAACAGTTTTTCTCATTTTGTTTTTACCTGCAAATATCCTTTTCCACCTGTGGAGAGGCCACATTTTTCACCTGTAAATTAAGGTTTTCTATATGAATGGACCATTATCTTATTACGGGTGGGCCATCTTCTCCCACCCTCTAGACAAGACTAAGACTATAGATCATCAAACTCCACAGATTCCTGCCCCCAAAACCTGACAAACCCTAGTTCCAAGCTACGCTGTGCGCCATCTCAGCACCCACACCCTGCTCTTGACTGCCCCCGTAGCTCTTTCTTTTTAAAAAACTAATTAATTTTATTGGTACATTTAAGGTATACAATGTAATGACATTCATCACTGGAAACTTGCACCTTTACATCATCCATCATAATCCAGAATGCACCCCTCCACCCCTCCCTATCTACAAAGACTTGGTTTCCATTTTTCCTTTTTCTCATGTTTCTTTCTTAATAAACCTTCTCATGTCTCTTACATGGATGTGTCCTGCAAACCCCTTCTGTGGCAGAAGTCAGTAAACCTGCAAGCCTATTTTAAAAGGGGGGAGCCAGCAGTGGTGGTGCATGCCAGTCCTAGCACTTGGGAGGCTGAGGCAGGAGGATCACCTTGAGTTTGAGGCCAGCCTTGACTATATGCAATATGTTCAAGACCAGCTTGGACTATATAGTGAAACCCGGTTTCAAATAAATAATAAATAAATAAATAGGTGGAAAAAGTCCCTTATTTCAGCTTCAGGGACCTCACAGACCCATTCCCAACGTGGTGACACGGGGAGAGAGTGAAGGAAACAATGGCAATAATCCAGTGCCCTAATTGCTGAGGAAGGGCACCAAGCAGACTGTGGAGGGGGTGGGGAAGGCATCTGGGAAAGAGTGCTGAGCTGAACAGGCTGTTCTCTCTCTAGGCTGGGCCTGTGAGGCACAGAACTTCTGCTTCAGTCTGCAAATGCTTTGGAGACCGTAGAACTGGGCGAGTGGTGAATGGGTGAGGAGATGGGGCTGGAGGGGTCACAGGACCCAGTTCTTCCCAGAGGGCCTTTGTGAGGCCTGCTAAGGCATCTGGGTTTGGTCCTGAAGGGAATAGGAGGCTTTTAAACGTGGAGGTGGTGCCACCAGATTTTTGAAAGAGAAAAAGTGTGGGTTGATAGAAATAGAAAGATCAAATTAGAAGCCAGTCAGAGAGATCTGGGCAAAGATATGCCCTGACTAAAGGCAGTGACCATGGGGATTATAAAAACCCAAATCACTGCAAATTAAAAGCTATCCATGGCTTTATTTTTGATTCTAGGATCTGGCAACACTTCACACCATAAAATAGAGTGGGTATTTGATAGGCTGAGAAGGATAGGTTAGAAGAACGAAGAGTGAAGTGGTCATTTCAAAGATACTGTCCTAAGGTAGAGACAGGGAGACAGAATAACAGAAGAATAACTCATTAGCTTCAGGTTACTTCTTTGTAAGGATTAAAACAGAAGGAACTTCATCATCCTTACTGATCTTTTTAGGAAATCTAGCTTTCATGTTTTTCCTGATTTCTCAGGTCAGATATGATGAATGTTAAGGGCTGGGTGTGGAGACACAGGCTGAAGCAAGAGGATCCTCGAGAGTTCAAGGCCAGCCTGGGCTGTATAGTTAGAGTTCAAGGCCAACCTGAACTGCACAGTGAGATTTTGTCTAAAAAAAAAAAAATGAGAGGGAGGGATAAAAGTTAAAAAGGTATTTGTAAATAAGAAAGGGTGAAGGGTGTGAAGGGAGGGCAGGAGTATGGGAAAAACATAGGAACCAAGACATATCATGTAGAGGTACAAAATCGTAATGATAAATGTAACTGTATTGTTTGCTTTAAATGTACCAATAAACTTAATGGAGGGAAAAAGAAGTTAAAAAGATAAAATCTATGCTTTAGTGAAGGGTTTAGGAGAGCCAGCAGAGGTAGACACTCCCTACAGGGAATTTGGACTTTAGGAAATTGGGCTATAATTTGTGTCAAAGCATAAATATCCAGACAAGATCAGGAAATATATCCAAGGAGAGACCACTAGTCTGCTATACATTTTATTTGGTGAGCTATTTAGGTGAAGAAGAGACATGCTGTTCAGATAGATATTGAAGTGTAGCTATCTGTCCATATCTCTAGATAGTATCTCTAGTCCATATCTCTGTGGAGACAGTTCCATAACCGATTAGCGTGAGTGTGTTAAAACTCTTAGGGTCTTACAAGAGAACAGAAGCAACTGTATTCACAAAAGCAGGTCATTAAAACAGCATCAGGAGAAACCTGGAACACGGAATCCTGGCTTTGAAATAAAACTTGAACCAGCCTTCATAAAGATTATAGTAAGAAATGTGATGAAAACATCAAAGAGCCAAGGGAGATTGGTATTATTACCCGCATTTTAACAGGAACGAGATTGAGGCCCGGGTGTTCAATGACTTTCCCCAAGTCCTACAGCGAGTGAGGGGCAGAGAAGCAAGTGCTTGCATGTCTCACTCCAGAGCTAAGATCCCACTGGCTAGGTAGCTAAAGGATGGAAATAGGCCGCCCATACAAAAGTACAAGCAAACAGTAAAAGCTGGAGGCCTTTGAAAGAGAGAAATGTCAAAGCATCAGGCACCATCATTTTAACTGTACTAAGACAAAAACACCCTGGGAAACAGAGCTGGTGATTTTCTGGATGAGCTGGTTTACAGGGGCATTTCTGGGAGCCAGGAGACTTGGAGAAACTCTGTGAGAAAGAAGTGAGGGCCAGGCACTGGGAAGTGGAGGCTGCGTCCATCAGGGAATCTCTCCTCAAGGCAGACTTAGAAATAAGTGAACCGATAAAGCAGAGTGGCCACAGGGCAGAGGAAACCACATTCAGGGGACTATTGGAGGGCAAAGAAGTGAAGCGATTCATCAAACTTGTGGAAGATCTGCACTTTAAAAAATGATCAGAATGAAGGTTATGCAGCAAAATGAAGAAATCACCGTGTTAAGATGTTGAGAAAAGGAAATAGGGTTGAAAGACATTGTGGAGGGAACCGCACTTAATTTGCAAATGGAGGCAGTGTCTTTGCAAAATGATTTTGTGTAGTTCTTAGAGCAGGTCCCTCAACATGGCATTTTCTTGTCTTTTCCCCCTTTCTTCTTTTTCCCTTCTGACCCCCTTCTTCTCTCCCCACTCCTTCCTTTTCTTCCTATTTTTATTCTTTCCTTTTGAGAAGCGACCAGCCCGAAGTTTCAGAAGATGAAAGAGCACACCTGGGAAGGAGGCAGGGAGTGGGGACAGCAGCCTTTTGATGGCTGATTCTGTCTCTGCTGGCCTGAACCCGGAGAGCTGTGCTGACCAGGGGTACAGGACTTCCTGCGATCTGGGGAGGGGGCAGGGGCGGCCTGCCGTGGCCTCAGGGCTGTCTCTTCAGTTTGTCAGGTGTGCCTACGTCATCATCATCATGGCCATTTACTGGTGCACAGATGTCATCCCGGTGGCTGTCACCTCCCTCATGCCTGTTTTGCTCTTTCCACTCTTTCAGATACTGGACTCCAAAGAGGTGAGCACATACAGGGGTCCTGGTGACGTCTGGGTTCTCTCATAGACTCCTTCCTTTTCCAAGATCCCCTCTCTGAGCTGTCTAGGTCTGGGGGTCACCAGACTCACGACCCTGGTGCATTCCCCCCCGGAATAGAGACATACATCTCCAAGCTGGCCCTGAAGTCAGCACGCGGTCTGCTAGTTCATCTCTGGGGACTTGGGTGACTCTGGGCCGTGGGGAAGGAGGCTGCCTTGACAGGGCCTCCATGCTGCCCTCCAGGTATGTGTCCAGTACATGAAGGACACCAACATGCTGTTCCTGGGCAGCCTCATTGTGGCAGTGGCCGTGGAGCGCTGGAACCTGCATAAGAGGATTGCGCTGCGCACGCTGCTCTGGGTCGGAGCCAAGCCCGCACGGTAATTACGCCTCCCTTTCTGGTCATGTGGTCTGCATGGGCCCAGGGCTGGGAGAGGAGTGTGCTACACACCAGCCGTCCTCCAGGGTTGAGGACAGGCTGGCCACAGCTTACCCGGATGTGGCAGGTTGGCCCCTGGGTGGAGCATATTTTGGTCTTAGCTGGAGGAGCAGGTACCTAGGTGGTAGCAGCAGGAGGGGAGAAGGCTGGTCAGCAGGAGTCCTGGCAGGTTTTGGGGGCGCTCCCCGTGAGGGTGGCCGCAGAGTTTCACAAGAAGCAAAACGGAGCCTAGATCAAGCCGTGCCTGGTTTTGTAAGTAAAGCAGGCCAGAAGTGGCTCAGCTACCCAGCTCGTGGGGGAAACAAAAAGGTTACTCCTCCACCCTGGGACGTCTGCCCCGCTGCATAATAGTGTCTGGCCTCATCTCCCCCACTTCACTTTGGACTTGAGCTTCTCAGCCCTTCACCAAGATCTCCCCACCAAGCAGAACAGAGTCTGTTTCCAGTAGGCCCACAGGGCATATGCCGGAACCACAGTCATGACAGTATAATGTCTACCATGCCGGGCCAGTGCTGGGACCTTGTGTGTCATCACATTAGATTCTCAGCACAGCTCTAAGAAATTGGGTGTTATGAGGAATTGGAGGCGGGGTTGGGGGGTGACTTGCTGAGGGGCATGTGGAGATTGAACTGAGAATGTCTGACAAGGTCTGTGACTCTGTATGTGGGAACTGCGGGTGCATCTTGTGAAGCCAGGCGCCATTTAAATAATAGTGTGTCCCTCAGCGCTTGGAGGGCCCCTCCTGAGATGTCCAAGTGTTAAGGGCTGGCCTTGGTTGGTCCTTCTGGTGACCCAGACCTGCTCTCCCTTTGTGCCACATAGGTCCGGTCACAAGCCACTGAATTTTCTAGAAACATGTGCTCTCAGGACAGCGGACCTCAGCATTCTTGTCTTTGAATCCTTTGAGTGACTGGCTTTTGCCACTGGCAGGAGGGAGGCCGCCATAGTGGGCTTCAGTGGAGCGATGGCTTCCAAATCCAAGAAGTACATGTCTGCCTCGGTGCTCCTTCTGCCACCTGGCTCCTTCTCTAAGCATGGCTTCCTGCTGTCTATGGCACTGCCTGTCCTGGGGGACCTTATGTGGAGAGCTCCTTAGGGCTTTGAGATTTCATGTGGAAACCAAGGTCTCTGGGAGGCTTGTGTAGGGCTTTCATCCTCCGCCTGGCCTGGATGCTGCTCTTTATTTTTATGGGTTTGTGAGGTCAGTCTGTATGGACACCAGCATGAACCTTAGTGTAGTGCACCCCCAGGGCCCTCCTTCAGGAGCTGGCCCTCAGGCACCTTAGCAGCCCTGAAGGGGAACCTGAGTGCACGAGGGCTTGGAGACTCAGAGCAGCTGGGTGCCACTCTGCTGGCCCTCCTGAGGGCCTTCTGCTTCTGGCCTCATGCCGCTGGGTTGTGGGGAGCCCTGGAGAAGAAGCAGTCCCTGGCCTGCTCTCAGCCTAGGAACAGAGCAGGCATGGACACTCATCCTCTGAACCCTACCTAATGACGAAGAGAGGAGGGAAGAAAGAGAAAGGTATGGCCGGCCCTACCTCAAAGCATTTTGAAGCAGGCCACAGAGGAGGGATGATGTCTGAGAGGGCTTTGAAGGACCACGAGAAGCTCTCCAGGTAGACAGCAGTGCGAGAGCAGCAGTAAAAGATGTTGGGTTCTCAGCAAAAGGAATGTGTTTTCTGAACAGCTTAATTTGATCCCTGGCAAAGTGTGATGTGGGGGGGGGCAGCTGAAAAGAAGGCTGTACTTCCCCAAGCTCTCCCTACCCCAGGCTGTCTGTGGAACCTTTCTAAACTTAGGAGAGAAGAGACTGGGTCTAGGACGGGGAGGCTCTTCTGGGTACAAATAACTCAGGCTCTCTGCATCACCTGAGTCATACTTGGGACACACCAGCCATATTGAGTTGGTACCATCTGGATGTCTGTGCTTTCCTTGCTACACAGGAGCTCCTTAGAATCAGAGCCGGGTCTGGGGGATCTTGTTTTAATAACCAGAAGAGTGGACCTCAGTAATATTTGTGAGACAGGGTTAGGAGGGGGAGAGGAGGGAAGGAAGGAAGCAGGGAAAGGGGCTTGGCACTCAAACTAGAATCCCCTGTTGGAGTGAGTATTCAGTCTTCACTGGCTGGCAAGGAGTGGAGACTTGAAGACTTGGAGTTGGGGGAGTGGGAGTACTCTGTGGCTTTCCTCCCTGACCCTCCTCTGCAGGCTGATGCTGGGCTTCATGGTCGTCACGGCCTTCCTGTCCATGTGGATCAGCAACACAGCCACTACAGCCATGATGGTGCCCATTGTAGAGGCCGTGCTACAGCAGATGGAAGCCACAAACGCAATCTCTGAGACTCGACTTGGGGCATTGGAGCTGGTGGACAAGGGCAAGGCTGGACAACTGCCAGGTGAGTTTCTGGCCAGGGCACTCTAGGGAACACAGGGCCTCCTTCCCTCTATTGCCAAATGTTTTGACCATTTCTCTCTTCCTCCCTATTCTCTGTAGATCTGTTTTAAACATGCGTAGAGAAAGCAAGTTAGGAAATATTGTTCTCATAAGTTTTAGAAGTGTGGTTGTTGCAAAAAAGTTAGATCCTTTAGAGCCAGGCATGGTGGTGCATACCTGTAATCCCAAAACTCTCAGAGGCTGAGGCTGGAGGACGGCAAGTTTGAGCCCAGCTTGGGCAATTTACTGATTCAGCAAGACACTGTCTCAAAATAAAAAATAAACAATGAGCAGAGGACCTAGCTTACTGCAAAGGCCCAGGATTCAAAACTCAGTACTGAAAAAAAAAATCCTTTAGTAGACCTTAGGATATTGCATTTTCATTAGAAAGAGCTTATAACAAGGTTCTCCCCTCAGCTCCTGCTAATCACAGAAATCAGTTAAGTGCCCACTTTATTATCTTTGGACATCTCTGGATGCCCACTGGGTGCCCCTTATCTCTTGCTCCTCCTGTGGTCTTCAGGTAGATCTTCCTGCTAGCTAAAGAGCCCAGGGAATCATCGTCCATCCGCTTTGCCTTTTGCCCGTTCCCTACCCATCCCCAGGACCCTGCACAGGGGAACTCAGGAAAGTTGATTGCCAGACCCTAGGTGAGGTCCTGGGCTGCAGAGTGGCCAGGCGCACACTAACTTCTGACTCATGCAGCTCAGTAGGGTGGCTCCACACAAGAGTCTTCTGCCTGGGGGAGGCCAAAAATTGGATACTTAAGAAGCTAAGGAGTGGGAGAAACTGTGCTAGGAGAAGAGGCAGTTGAGGTAAATTTGGACATGTAGGGACAGCCTGGCAACAGCAAGGGGTCAAGACAGAGGAGACACGAGTCTTGTCTTAAGTTGTTAAGTTTGGCGGGAACATGAAGGAGCCATAGGGGAGCCATGGGAAATGACTTTGGGCAGATGTATGTGGGAGCCTGATTAGGACTTTGGCTGGAGACTGGCGAACGCATGTGGAGGCACCTGACAGGGTGGGGATGTCCCTGTCCTTAGGTTAGCTGCAGGGTCAGGAGCTGGGATTGCTGGACTGGCTCACTTAACAGTGCTGTGCCCACCACAGAGAACCAAGTGACTTTTGGAGACCCCACCATGGAGAAGCAGGAGGACCAGGAAAGGAAGAACATGTGCAAGGCTATGAGCCTGTGTGTGTGCTATGCAGCCAGCATTGGGGGCACGGCCACCCTGACTGGGACGGGACCCAACGTGGTGCTCCTGGGCCAGATGAACGAGTGAGTCATCGGCCCCACTTTCAGGGAACATCAGAATGGGCCCCTTTCAGGCCGGAGGGACCTACTAACATTGGTTAATGGCTTTGGTCCTAAGATACTGGGTTCTATGGATGGATTAAGGGGTTGGGTTTGGTTACTTATTCCCTTACTGTCTCACTTACTATAGCCCCACTAATTGCCCTTGAGGGGATGTATTCTTTCCTGAGAGGCCTCAGGTGGACCAAAAAGGTATATTGGAACTTTCCAGCCTTGACCAAGAAGGGACCCTGCCCATGAGAATCCTGTATCTGTGCCTGGCTCTGTACTGGGTGGGTCTGGGATCATGAAAGTGAGAGAAGCCTGGGCCTGCCATGAGGTTCTCAGGTTCTGTTGAGGGAGCCACACGCAGGGAAGCTCCAGGCCGATCTGGTAAATAAGTGCATTGAGGTTTGTACAAACTGTAGTGGTTAGGACAAGAATAAGCTGGTGCTCATCCTGTGCAGACTAGAGCTCTGGGCAGGGGTGGGGCGGGTGGCTGGCAAATGAGCTAGGAGCTGGAAAGAACAGGCCTGAGCTTGGCAGGACAGAAATTGGAGGTTCAACAGCCAGGCTGGAAGTGCTTTCTGTGATGATATCCTTAGGGTCCGCCCTTAAATTCTTCTGGGGAAAGCAGCCTGTCTGGTCTGTGTAGGGGACGCTGTGTGTCAAAGCAGACACCTTTGGGTTAAAGGAGGTAGCCCTGGGACAGCAGAGGCCTGGGTTGGGAGGCGGGGCCTAGGGAGCATCTTCCGGCTCCATCCTGGAGTAGTTTGGAGTAGTTTTGAGATTTGCTTTCCTAAGGGGCCCTTTCCTTTGCAGAAACCCACAGGTCATCTGAGTCATCTGTGGATCCCTGAAGCTGTTGGTGGAATTATGTGTGCATGTGTACAAAGCCGTTCTTTTCCAGAGGGATGGACATTAACTTTTATGAGATTTTTAGCAGGGCCTGGATCCACAGAAGGGTTGATCGGTCATTCCTCAGCCCCATCTTGTGCCATGGCTGCGTTCCGGGTCCTTATCTGATTAGAGGGCAATGTGGGTCATGAACCTGGGTGGCTGGACCCTGCTAGGATGTAGCCTCCAACTGGGCCCACCTCTCAGTGTCCAGCAACTGCCCGGCTTCCGGCCACAGAGCCCAAACTGCTTCACACAGCTCCACGTTGGCTCGAAGCGCAGGTCAATGCCTTTCTTTTCAGACTGTTTCCTGACAGTAAGGATCTGTTGAACTTTGCTTCTTGGTTTGGATTTGCCTTCCCCAACATGCTGCTGATGCTGCTACTTTCCTGGCTGTGGCTCCAGTGCATTTATATGAGATTCAAGTAAGTCTGAGCAACTCACAGAATACCCTCTAATTATGCCCCCCTTACAGAGAACCCTCAACCTCTAGCCAGTCTATAAAGGTCTTCTGAGGGGGGGGTCAGGGGTCCCCACTCCCACCACCCCCACTGCTCACTGTGCCTCTGTACACATTGTTCCCTCTTCTTGGGTGACTATTTTCTACCTTGCAACCTGTGCTACTCCCCAGTCAGTTCAGATGCTGCTTTCCTGGCTACCCTTTCCTCTACTTCCTCTCACCTCCATCCCATTTGAGAAGAACTTGCTTCCTGCTCTGAGCTGGCTGGAGGTCTATGATATCTGCCTTCAGATTCTAGTGTCACCCCTTGACCTGGACTTTGAGGTCTTCTAGGACCTCTCTGACCCTCGGTTTGGATTTTGCTAGAATGGCTCTCAGCTCAGGGAGAAAGAGCAAGTGTGCCATCAATGTGCCTAAAACAATTAAAGAGAAAATCGTCGCCACGTGCCAAATCAACACTGCTGGACAAGCTTCCACTTGGTTGCTTGAGTCCATTAGCCTTCTGATATTGTCCAAATCAATCCGAACCCAGAGCTTCACTGAATGCCTGTTCCCAGCAGTGTTCCGTCCCAGAAAGTTTACTGTCCTCTTCCCAGCACACTGTCAGGTTCAGCCAGAGTCACCCTTGACAGCAGCCAGACTTTGGACAGAAACCATGACGTGTGGTTGACAGATAGCTTTTTATTTAATTTTGTTATTTTAAAAGACATGAATGTGTCTGTTGCACAAAGGTGATTGTGCCACATGGGGTGGAAAGGACGGAACTAGGAGCTAAGTGTGTCTGTCCTGGGCCTCACTTCACAGGGAGTTGGAGCCAAGTAAAACATAGTGGGGAACATAAGAAGTGGAGTGAAGGAAAAGTGCCTGGGAAACTTGTGATTTAAAGGGGAAAATGGTGCGTTTGTTTGTCTTCTTGTGAAGAAGAAGGAACTGTTTTGATAATTGTTGAAAAAATTGCTGGACATGTTCAAGACAGTCAGAATAATGATCATAAACAGCAGAAGCAGCACTCCCACACTATCCACTGGCCTCTTGTCCACTGCCCTCCTGCCCTACTCCTGCTGAGAGGGAAGTTGCTTACCTCCTTGCTGGCTGGCACAGCTTGGCTCTGACCATAGCTCTCTTCACTCTGCTTCTCAAATCTGTGCCAGGACCAAAGTCCTGCTTGTTTACTCATATCTTTCCAGCCAGTCTTTCAGGAGATGGCCTGAACCTGCTGCAGGTAGGCATCTGTGTCTCCTGATGGGGCAACAGAAGTCATGATGACCAGTGTGTGTTAATGCATATTAACATAGGGCCTGGAGAGGTTAAATAGCCTGTGCATGGTGATATGGCATGGGTGTAGTGGGCCTGAGATTAGAATCCAGGCAGTTCTGCTGCAGAGCCTATGCTCTCCAAATGCAACCCTGCATCTTCTCCTGGAGAGGCCAAAGTCTGCTTGCCCTGGACAGCTTCAGGGTCCAGGCATACCAGGTATCAGAAGCACTAATTGTGGCCTGGGAGCTTCCCTAAAGCCTCAAGGCCAAGTAAGAAGAGGGAGCTGGCCTAGCATCAAGACCACAAGTGCATCATCAGCTTGCCCATCCAGCAGTGGAGGTAGGACCATGTTCTTGAAAACCCAGCCAAGAATCTAAAGCTGTGATTCCACAGCCTGGAGTAGCCTCCATCAGGTCTCCTGGACCAGAAGAGATCCTACAGAGCACTTGGTATGCTGCACTGGAACCATTGGAGCCTGCTGGTGGTGGAGGAACAGAGGTGTTGCCCAGCCCACCCCTTCCCAACATGGTGCTCTAGTTTGAACATGGAGCAGACATGGGGTCACAGGAAGCCCAGGCTCAGTTTTGAATCTGGAAGGTAGAGGAAAGATTGTTCCACTCAGCTGGGATGATGGCAGCAGTGCTCTGGCCCAGGCCATGTCCTGCAGCATACCAGGACCTGATGATCCCAGTCCACCTCCTGGATCACATCACTTACGGCCAAAGAGTGCAATGTCTCAGCTGAAGGAGTCTCTATTGTGTATGTCTGTATTGTCTGTCTTACTTTTTCTTATCTGGAAAGTCATGGAGAGCAATGTCAAGGTCTTGACCTCTAGCTTAATCCAAAAAAATTGTCTTGCTAAGTTTATGGGAAACCTCACGGTCATTCAAGAAGGCTACGGCCATCTCACCCCCCAGGACTGCTAAGAATGATATGGGATATTTCTGCTGGGTTGTACCTAACTGTCACAACCAGGCTAACCCCCAGAGAGATATTCTTGGGAGGGTTTTTCCTAACCCCTACCTGCTATGGCAGAGACACATGGGTACTCAAGGTTCCCTTCTCTTCTTGGCTTCAAAGTATATTTAGTCTGAGTTCACCATGGTGGTGAAGGCCATTCTCCAAGGATGTCTTGGCTTTCACCCCAACTCCAGGGCTCTCACAGGCCAATTAGGTCCTGCATCTTACAACAGCCCAGCAGTCACCAGATGAAATGCACACAGACATGAGAGTGAAACTACTGAGCAAAAGAGGGTGAGAAAGCACAGAGGCCCTACTATGGAGAACTGCATCAGAAGACTGAATAGTACACACAGCCCATAGTTTGTAGTCACTGTGGTGTAGGGGATATGCTGTTAGCACCACTCTAGGCTCTGGCTTCTTACTGCCTGTCTCATGCTAGGCAACTAGGAATTCTGGAAATCTTAGGCTTGTGGCACAGCCTCAAAGTCTAAGATGACAATGGCAACAGGTCAGTGGTTGGAAGAACACAGTCTATGGAGATCCCCTCTCATGAGAGCAGTGTTGACCCCATGCCTGATGATCTCCTGGCACAAGGCCTCGCCCCTTCTCCAGAAGGGAGGTTTGGCCAGTTGTGTAGACCTGAGGTCCTATCACTGCTACCTTCTTTCCTGGCCTCTGAGCTCCCAGGAGGCTGTTTCCTGATGTCGCAGTGCCCCTATGCTGTAGGCCATGCTATCACCACCAGTGTGACTTTCGTGATCTCAAAGGCAGTTAACATTCAGCCCTGATGTCGGGAACCAGCACCTGTTTTGTCAACCACAGCTGTTCCGTGAATTTTACCCTAGGCCCCTGAAAGACTTGCAGGGACAATGCTCTTGGCCTTGCCCACCTACTCAGAGCAACAGTGGGCAGAATGTGTAAATAGAGTCCTCAGAAAACACCTTGGGTACTACATCCTCTGCATCAGTGGGCCCAGTTACCCCTCCCCTAAGTCGAGTTACCCTCATCCTCCCTGCCTCCTCAGGCCGATGCCAACATGAGGGGAGGTCCCGCATGGCACTTTGGCTGGGTCCATTTACCAATGGGCCACTCTAAAGGCTCTGTCCAAGAACAGAGACTGGCCTGGCTTCCTTCCTGCCCTGGCCACCAGGCACCTGCCAGATCTCCCTTGCTAGTGACTGCCTCAGTTTTGCTTGTTTCTGTATCCCATCCTCCTGCTCACTCTTCGGTTCCGCTCAGCCTCTCATCCTCCTGGCCATTCTCTCCTTTCCTACACTCACTGTCCCTGAGACCTAGTTGAGACCCACTGCTTCTCCTGTACCACCTCCTGTATCACCCTTGGGGGAATAACCCCAAGATTTGGAGGCACCCCTTGAGAATGTTCCGGGCACTTCACAAGCTTTCCCCAAGATGTCCTAGGAGGAACAGGAGGTAGATAAGACATAGAAGGAAAGAGGGAGGAAGGGACTTGCTCGAGGCACTGCAGTAGGTGGAATATTTGGGTTCACCTGTGCCTGAGCCAACCCATCTGTCCTACCATTCTCTCATTTTTGCATTCTCCAGTTTTAAAAAATCCTGTAGCTGTGGGACACAGAGCAGGAATAAGGAGAAGGCTGCCTATGAAGTGATACAGGAGGAGTACAGAAAGCTGGGACCCTTGTCTTTCGCTGAGGTCAATGTCCTGATCTGCTTCCTCCTGCTGATTGGTCTGTGGTTCTCCCGAGATCCCGGTTTCATGCCAGGATGGGCGTCCATTGCCTGGGAGGAAGATTCAAAGATGTAAGTTGTTTGACTGGAAGAAGCCTCTGCTTTGTTACAATGGTGTCTAGATGCTGCTGTTCTCTGGTACAGCTGGCAAGAGGAAGGTGTGGAGTTGGGCCCTTTGTTTTGAAGCTGGGTTTTAGAGAGCACTTTGTTGGTTTCATGAGTCATTTTCCTTTCTGAACAATCTTTATGGTAAGACCACAAAAGCATCTGTTTCTGCAGTACCTTTGGCAGAAAATGCATGGTCAAGTAGGGTGGCCCTGGCCCGGGGACAGAGTTTGTCAGGCTAGGAGTAGGTCTCCTAGAATTCTGGCTTCCAGATCTCTGCTCTGCAATCTTCCTTTCTGATCATTCCTTAGACAGAAATTTGGCAAAGGGGGCCTATGTGAATTTTTCTACTGGCCCTGGTGTTTGCAGCATGGAGAAAATGTTGAGAAGCAAACTTGTGTATCCTAGAAAAGGCAGGAGATGTGGGCAGGTAGATGCTGCCTGCAGCTGGCCATTCTATTTTTGCCTGATGGGGTCAGCACCAAAGTCCTTGAAATCACCCTGATAAGCCCAGGATTCTAAAGAACCTGGAAAAGAAGTCACAAAGTTCACGCATGAAGCAGTATAGGGTGAGGGAGGCAAGTGAGCTGCTGTGGATTTGCCCATAGTTGGCAGCTAAGAATGTGGGCATCTTGGTTTCACCCCAGGACTCGGTCTCACACTACTCTGATCTTGGCTCTGGGGTCTCCAGCTTTCCTACCCAATGAGCCTGTTTCTCCACACAAGAGCTTTTAGACATAGATCTGGCCCAGTTAGGACAGGTTTGTGCATGGCTTTCACTGTAGCAGCCAAGCTAGGCTAAACTCCTATGTGCTCCTTTCTACCCAGGTATGCCACGGATGCCACTGTGGCCATCTTTGTGGCCATCTTGCTATTCATTGTACCTTCACAGAAGCCCAAGTTCAACTTTTGCAGCCAGACCGAGGAAGGTAAGGTTCCTATGCTGGTCTTCCAATGATCTGGATTGGGTCTTGGGGCAGTAAATGATCTCTATGGAGTGGGCCCTGGTCCTATGAGAAGAGAGAATCCTGTCCTCTTGAAGAAGACTGGCCATATTACAAAAGCCTGGAGATTTCCAAGCCAACAGTGGTATTATTTAGCACAAAACCTCTTCTCTTGCTTTTTCAATGTCTGAAATCTTATTCATATTACACCAGGGGCAGAAAGTGGGTTTCAAATTTCCCCTAATGTTTGTCAGGCTAACTTTTTTGTTTGTCAGCACTTTTTTGCTGTTTTCTCTTTTCTTCCCTGTTTTGTTAATAGGCATGCATATTTTACAGTTATAATCAAAACACACAGAGTTTGAACATTATATCTTTATTGTTTACATCTTTTTGGTTTTTCTTGGGACTACACTATAAAAGTTTTTTTTTTTAACCATTGCTACAGTATTTATTTTCTCTAATAAAGCATTGTATCAGAGGGGCTGTAACCATTCTCTTGCTCTGGGATATTTTGCCCGTTTTGAATTTTTCATTATTATAAATTAGTGTTTTCTCATATATAGCTTTTCCTTTGAGGGTGTTTCTGCTCTAGGATAAAATTTTAGCAATGATATTACTGGGTTAAAAGAATATTATAAATTTCTTAATAGTTTTAAAAACATATGGCCAAGTTGCTTTTTAAAAAGATTGTTCCAATTTATAATGCCATCAGCAGAGCACATAACAGTTTTACCAAATCCTCTTCAGCAATGGGTACAATAATTATTGTAAATTTTAGCTAATTTATAGGTATGAGCTGGTACCTCATTATCCTTATTGGCCCTATTTCCCCTTAATTATGTGTCCTTTGTTTTCTAATGTTGTTTTGTGTTGCATGTGTGTATGTGTGTGTGTGTGTGTGTGTTTGTGTGTTTGTTTTTTCTTGTCAGAAATGAAAACTCCATTTTATCCCCCAGCACTGCTGGACTGGAAAGTAACTCAGGAAAAAGTGCCCTGGGGCGTTGTGCTGCTACTAGGGGGTGGATTTGCCCTGGCTAAAGGATGTGAGGTAACTTCTCCCAGGGTCCTCTGATTCCACCAAGAGGGTGAATGCAGCTGCCACGTTCCTCTACTTCTCGATCCCTGGACTTCTGTTTCTGTGTCTTTCTCCTCCATGGAACTGCACGCTCTTTGGGGAAAGACATTGACACGTCACATGTACAACCAATAATGCCTGGAAGGGATAAAGCATTCTTGAATGACTGCAGAAGTGAGTACATAGTTGATTTTGGTTAGGCAAGAGAGAGGAAGAGGTCACTGTCAGGGCTGTTTGGAGTCTAATAATAATGCTCTCTGCTTTGACTTATTCTAGGGAGATTTTTCTTTCAAGTTCTCATGTATATTTTCACCGTTTCCTCTGGTCCTTCTCCTTCCTGAATGCCTCATTAGCAAGGTTTCAAAATTTAAAAAAATTTCTACCTAAGTATATAACTGCAATAGAAGAGAAACAGATGTTCAGGAAAATACTCCCAAATGTAACTCTCTAACTCCTTTCTTCCCTCATGGGGAAGAAATTAGCCAGTAGGAGGAATGAACTAACTTGGTGCTGCTCTCCTCATCCATCACCCACCCATCCATCCACCCATCTGTCCATCCACCCATCCACTCACGCACCATCCCACCAACTATCCCTCCATCCATCCATACAGGAATAGAACATAATAAATAGACTTGGTCTGCCTTGTGTTTCATGTTCCTTCAACATCTAGGACATAGCCTGGTGCATATTCCCCCCCCCGCAGTGCTGAGGATCAAGCCAGGGCCTCATGCATGCTAGGCAACTGCTTTTTCACTGAGCTACATCCCCTGTCCAATCCATTTTTTTTTTTAAAGAACAAACCCACATTCAGCCATTCACCTATTCTTTTCTCCATCTATCATTTTCTCATTCATCAAACATAGCTATTATGTCCCTATTGTTGGTCCAGGCACAGAGATTATAGAGGAGATGGAGACATGTCCCTGTTTTTGAGGACTTCACAGCGGCGGGGGGCACACACCTGGAAAGGCATTTCAGGAAGAAGGAAAAAAGCGTGAGGTGTCCAGCTGAAGAGTAGAGAAAGCTGGTGAGGCTAGCAGATACCATTTCCCCGAGGGCCTTGGGAGTAAGTAGGATGGAGGACGTAGACTTGATTCTGAAGGCAGTACAGAAACACTGAAAGGCAAAGGCCAGGGAGTGATTTGGTCAGATCTGTACTTGAGATATAGCCCTCTGGTGTCTGACATGAAGGAATGGGGCAGGTAGAGACTGGAAGAGAAGCAGCCCTGTAATCTTCATCTAATGTAGCCTCAGAAGTTGGACTCCATGGGTGCATTTTCTCCTTAAGCTCTGCCTGCTGCTCTTCTTTGGCCTCTAAGACACTACTTTATCCTGCTTTCCTTCTGACTTTATTTCTGCTCAGCCTTCTTTGCTGATCTTTCCTCTGTTTCCCCTTAAATATGGGTGTTCTGCAAGGCTCTGTCCTTGACCTCTTGTCTATTTACTTTTCATTTTCTCCCTGGACAATCTTTCTCAGTGTAAGACCAAATCTAAATCCCCAATTTCTGGCCCAAATCATTCTTCTGAGTTTCGAGAACCATAGGTCCCCAAGAAAAGAGAAGATGGATGTGAGATATTCTTGGTGACTTGGTGACTTGTTGAATGTAAGGAATGAGGGTGACAGAGATTCCCCATTGTGGCTCCCTGACTCCTGGCTGGGGAGGCCTGAGGGAGAAGCAGACTTTGGGCTAAGGAAAAGGAACTTTGGCTGGGGGCATGTGCTTATGGAACATGTGGGTGGAAATTCCTAGAAGGCAGGTGGAAGTTTAAATCCAGATAGATCTGCTGGACTAGAGATTAAACTTTAGGAGACAGCAAGGTGAGGATGTAGCTTAAAACTGTGGAATGATTCGTATCATTTATGGTATGGGTGCAAGAAAGAAAATTGGGAGTAGAGGATGGGTTGAGCTCCCCATTCCACCACCTCTGCCTCTGAAGAGACTGTGGGTCAGGAGCCCCAAAGTGATTGCCCTTCCTGTCCTTCTCAGGCCTCAGGGCTCTCAGAGTGGATGGGGAAGCAGATGGAGCCCTTGAGCAATGTGTCCCCAGCAGCCATCACGCTGATCTTATCCTTGCTTATTGCTGTGACCACTGAATGCACAAGCAACGTGGCCACCACCACCCTGTTCTTGCCCATCTTTGCCTCCATGGTAAGTACCTCTGTTGTGGGAGGGGAAGCCATTTCACAGGAAGCTGTCAACCCATGACCTTATCCTGGGTCCTTAGAGTGGGTATGAAATCAGGGGCCAAGCTTAGAGACCAGAGTCTGGCCCTGGCTCTGATGTGGGCTTGTGCACCGTTGGCCACCCTGGTCCCCAGGCCCTTACTGGTTTGCTGGCACCTCTTCGTCATCCCCCTGCTGTAAAGTGGCAAACATAGACCAGGTACTCAAACTTTACTGTATAAACCTAACTGGATGATTTTGCAAGCTGGGGAGGTAGGACTTGTACCAAGGCTCTGGATGCTGAACACGTTGCAGGAGAACTGCGGAGCACCCCTGGGAACACCACTGACTGAGACCCCCAGGAAGGGGCCTTGGAGGAGGTGGGGCTTAGAGTGGGAGTGAAGGAGATGGCATTTGGTGAAGGAGATGGAGGGCATGGCTGAAGACTCCAGAAGGCTCCCTTGCAGAGCCTAGGGATGAAAGGATCAAGCGTGAACTGAGCCAGAGAGGGCACTGGTGGTGGAGGCGAGGGCTGCTTAGTGTTAGCTACAGTATCTTGTTCTATGGGTGGGCATGATTTTGAGTTGGAATTGAGGAGAAAACAGAGCTGATAGGAAAATCAGCTGCCATCCTTTTTCCTGTCTCCTGTCATTCATTGAAAAGCAGTACTGACCTCAGGGTGGTATAGGAAGAGCTCTGGGCTTGGACTCAGAAGACCTGAGTTCCCCATACATATCACTGAATCCTTTTTCTCCTAGAGGTGCACTGAGGGTCCATAAGAAGAGACCTGTAAAAAGCCTCTACAGACTGCACAGGAGCATGGGAGAGGTTATAATTATATTGGAGCTGGGAGACAGACTCACAAAGGGCCTGAAAAGAGCACTAGAGTTGGTAAATTTCCATCTGGCTGCCTGTACTTCCACGTGCATAAAAAGCAAATCTAAGTGGTTTTCCTGCCATTCCAAGTGGAAATGAAAGTGTTAAAAATAGTAAGGTGGCTGTCTCCTCCTCTCTCTAGCAGGCTATTCAGACAGAGACCAAGGAAGAGGGGGAGGAGGAAAGGAAGAGAAGGAAAGGGAGAGGACAGTTAGGAGGAGAAACAGGAAGGGGGAAGAGTAAGATTGGAAGGAGGAAGAGAGGAGTCTTTTGATGATGAGCATGTGGTGGGGATGATTCCTCTTCCTGGGCAAAGGCTCTGGGATTGCCACCTCCAGCTCTTACCATGAACACCAATGGCCTCACCCAGACAAATGCAAGCCTGAGTTCAAAGGAGTGTCCAGGTCTTTTGAAAAGAAGCTTTTTTAGAACCAGAAGCCCTGAATAAGATTCCCCAGACCTACCTCCATAGATTCACCCAGACAAATGCAAGCCTGAGTTCAAAGGAGTGTCCAGGTCTTTTGAAAAGAAGCTTTTTATAGAACCAGAAGCCCTGAATAAGATTCCCCAGACCTACCTCCATAGCCTCTCCTGGGAACCCTTTTGTGGGAAGGAGAAAGAGTGTGGTCATCTGGCACGGTCACCGAGGAAGGAGGGGTGCATATAGCATGTGGTACCCAAAGCCAGGGAAAACGAGGATGGGGAAGGACCAGAAAGCAGCCTGGCCTTGCCTGAGACCACGCAGCTACTCTGAGGGTATGTAACTGGGTGCAGTCTCTGTGTACTCTTTTAACTAAGGAATTTCACGTTTGGGAGAATGTCTTAGGAAAACAGTGCCTAAAACCATAGTTATGATATATAGCAGTCATTTATTTTAAATATATCTATAGTAATGGTGAAATAAATGATCTATGCTTATATAGTATAATACCATCCAGCCATTAAAAATCTGTTTTGGAGATTATTTAATAAAACGAAAGCATGTTCGTACTATGATTGTTTTAAGTTGCAATGGTAAATACATATACATGGCTTTAAAATGTCTAACAATACAAAGCAGTGTACAGACCCTATTCCTCTAGCTTCTTCCCTAGAAACAACTTCTTAATTTTTAGACATATACATATATTTTGTTTGTTTGTTTGTTTTTTGAGACAGGGTCTCACTGTGTAGTTGAGACTGACCTGGAACTCACTATATAGCCCAGGTTGGTCTCTAACTCACAGAAATCCTCCTGCCTCAGCCTCCCGAGTGCTGGGATTACAGGCCATGCACCACCACACTTAGCTAGATGTATTTTTGATATATCATACACATTCTTTTCAAATAGTGGGATCAATTTATGGACATGTTAAAATACCTTAATTTTTTTTTGAATCTACACATAGATGTTGGAGATTTTTCCATATTAGCACATAAAGCCTATCTACTTCTTTACAGCTGCATACCACTCCATTGTTTGTATATACCATAATTTATTTAACCATCCTGTTGTTGATGGCCCCTGAGTGTGTTTCCTGTGCTTTGTTGTTACCTTGTTGGAGCGAACATCTTTGCATATGTGCATGTATCTCTGTACAGGGTTTCGTATTGACAGACATTATGAATTACATTATTCATTTACTTCTTGAACAAATATCTACTGGGTGCCTATTCTGTGTGGTTAGATGTAGCTGAAACATAAAATATAGAATAAAAAAGGTGAATACCAAATTCTAGATGCAAAACAATCCCAAATGTATAAAAACATAGACATTTATAGATGCATACAAAAATGAGAAGTCATAGTCCTCTAGGACCTCTCTGCCTGTGTGAGGAGAGACACACACACATAACACCACAAGACGAAGCTCAATCTACGGGTCCAGCATGGTCTCTGGGACATAGTAAGGGACTTGCGGGGATTCAGAAAAGCCTCCCAAGGGAGGTGTCTTCTCAGCCCAGGCTTCAGTGTTTAGCAGCGTTGTCTGCCAGAGAATCACTGGCAAAAGGCAGAGGACCCAGCAAGACAAAGGCGTGGAGTTTACGCTAAGCCTTCAGGAAATGCTTCCCTGAATTATGACCCTTAGAGCTTTTGTGTTCTGTGCTGTGAGCTGTGGTGCTGTTTTCCCCCAGTCTCGTTCCATCGGCCTCAATCCGCTGTACGTCATGCTCCCCTGTACCCTGAGTGCATCCTTTGCCTTCATGTTGCCTGTGGCCACCCCGCCTAATGCCATCGTGTTTGCCTACGGACACCTCAAAGTTTCTGACATGGTAACACAGCTGCTTTTATTTACTCCCCTCAGACTCTGATGCTATTGGTATAAGGGATGCCCCACTTATGAGGGACATGTGAGTGTCAAAAGAATGGCATATGATTTGGGAAGTGTCCAGAGCTATGCTCATTATTTGCATTTATAGTGCAGCATTTCTTCTTTTTGAAGTGATCTCAAACTTCATCGGCTGTCCTGTTTCCATAGTGGATATCAGAATCTCCCTCCCAAAAAAGCTGTACAGACACCAGGGGAACCCTGGCTGAGCACTTGGAAGGGTGTAAATGGGAGACCTCCATGGCCAAGGATGGATTTCACAAACTAGCAAGCACCCTGAAGATAGTCAGGAGGGGTGCGGCTTAGATTGAGAGGAAATGCTAAGGGCGGGTGAAGAGACTTGTAGAGGTGTCTGAAGAGGGGAAAGTGACCTCTTTTCGGAGCAGATAACGCATGGAGGCAAATACAGTCACAGGAAGAACTCTCCATGCCACATTTGGCTTTGTGGCCTTTAATGGGGGAAGAAAGATGTATTTGCAGCTCTGGGTCAGGGACAAGGAAAGTGTGTGAGCCAGAGTAACTGGAAGTAAAGGTTCTTACCTTGGACCAGCCAGTTGGTAATTATCATAAATACTCTGCTGGTTATCTCTAAAACATTTCCACAAAGAGGGAAGATTCCAGTCCCCATAGAAGATCTACAATGAGGTATTCAAGTGATGGTTACTCGCGTTAGGGAAAGAATGCAGAGTGAGCATTGGAAAGATCCACAGGAGGGTCACAAGGAGGCTGCAACATCTTTGTGGGTCACTCGAATCACTGGGGAAGCACTGGGTCTGGAGTCACATCCCAAGCTCTGCCATGATTTGCCTGAGTGGCTTTTGCCCCATGTCACCATCCTGAGGTCATTTTCCACTGCTAAAATGGGCACTGGGAACCTCTGTTCCACCTCCTTCCCAGAGTCACTGAGCATTCACGACAGTGGATGTGAGCTTGCTTTACCCGGGACGAGGGGAACCCCAGAGCATGGCAAAGGCACAGCAAACTGGCCCTTCATCCATCTCTCCAAGTGTCCCATTTGCCCTTGTCCTGACAAAGCAGCAGACCCAGGGGTGCTGACTTGGACCCTGGTTTTATTTACTCTTTTATTTATTTATTTATTTTTATTTTCCAGGTGAAAACAGGACTAATGATGAATGTAATTGGAGTCATGTGTGTGTTTCTGTCCGTCAACACCTGGGGACGGGTCATATTTGACTTGGATCATTTCCCTGACTGGGCTAATGTTACACACATTAAGACTTAGGAAGAGCCACAGGACCTTGCACACGGCCTGCACTCTCCTGAGGACTACAAATTTCCAGCACACCTTGCACAGAGCTTTGGGGTTCACACCCCAGAGTGACTCAATCGTGCCCACACCCCACCAAGACCCAGCCAGTGGGTCACCTCTTCCTTCAGGGCTAGAGTCAGAGATGGTGATGGGCAGGCTCAGAAGTGAAGAGATCCTCTCAAGAGGCATGGGATCCATTTTCCTGGGCCCTGCCATCATCTCTGGGACTGGCAGGTAGGAGAGGGACCAGGACAGAGGCCCTTGTACCATGGAGCCCTGGGCAGCCACCATGCTGGCCTATGCTGGGCTCTGGTTCTCACCTGCTTAGTCCCAGGTAGTCCACATGGGAATTAGAACCCCAGGATGGGGGCTGAGGAAATAACCTGGCAGTGCCTGTGCCTCCTCTGGCTGCCTCAAATCATTTGTCACTCTGAAGGGGATAACTCAGCCAGGAGGCAGCCCCAACTGCTGGAGTGACAGCACCTTCTGGAAGCTCTTGGATCCTGATACGGCACCAAAACCAAAGGAGAAGCACTTTGACTTGCCAACTTCAGGATGACACCTGCCTCCCTTCCCACAGCTCCTCCTGGCTGACCAGCTCCCCTCGTTTAACTAACAATCTGGCCCCATTTCCCAACTGTCCAGTGAGCCTCCTTCCACCCCTAAGTCCCTTTGTTGTCTGGACCAGCAGCTGCTGAAATCCCAAGGATCCCTTCTTTGCCCCCAGGCAAGCCAGCTTGGCTCTTTGCAGACATGCTTTTTCCTACCAGTGCCATACAGCTGGGATTACACTCCACATGTGGGCACTGCGGATCTTTGGTGGCCACCGTGAAGTACCTAGGTCCTCTCTCATCTTCAGGTACAGAGTGGATGCAGTATTCATTTCCAGTGGCCGGGCCACCTCAGAGTTTAGTTGTCCGGCTGGAGTTTGAGCTCTGCTGGGAATTCCTTCCCCTATTGACTGGCCACAGCAGCCAAGCCTGGCAGCAACAGAGCATCACTGAGAATGAGCAGAATGAGTGCTGGTCCCTAAACCACACACCTACCTTGTGGGTGAATCTACCTGAGTTTACCGGTAATAGTGGCAGTGTGGACATAGAAACTCTCTGAAACCCCATGAGAGAGGGAGACGCGAGAGGCAATCACCTTGTTCTTCCCTTCCCCTCCCTCCCTTCCTCCCTCCCCTTCCTTCCCTTCTCCTCCTCTCCCTTCCTCTTTTTCTTTCTTTCTCCTCTCCCCCCTCCCCTCCCCTTCCCTTCCTTCCTTCTTTTCTTGTACTGCTCTGGCAGAGAGTTGGTGACAGAGAGACAAGGTCCATGGAAAGCATTTTTCAGGGCAGGAGAAAGTCTGGGAACCCAAGGAAAGCCTGTCAAAGACCAAGTGTGTATCTAGTTCCTGACCACACTGTGGAGGCCTTGCCCTCATTATGCTCTGTCTCCCATGGAAATTTCCACTGTTCTGACTCGCCTCTGGTTTTCTGCTGGGTGTGGGCATCAGGGGAGGTGGATGAATGAACAGTTACTCTCTGTCCACCTCCTGGGTGCTAGGCCTTACTGTCCCTGGAGAATCCACTGGTTATTTTATTGGATCTTTGTAGCAACCTGTGAGACAGGCAGTTGTTATCTTCATTTGTCATCGAAGAAAACCAAGGCTCACAGTGGCCAAGGGAAGGGTCCTAAGTCACACATCAAGTTAGCGACAGTTATGATTCCAACAAAAATCGATCTTCTGGCAGCATGCCATGAGTCTGTGCTGTCTCCTCTGAGATGTGTTCAGTACAGTGCTGAATTAGACAGAGCTGTTCTTTGTCCCAAGGCAAAAGCATAAAGTTGGGGCTTGGATTCCCTTGGTTCCCTCAGGAGGCCATAATGCATATGACCGTTAAAATGACTGACCCATGTGGTCAGTGGCACTCACTTGATGGTAGTGGGCAAGGTCAGGGAAGATCATCTCAAGTGGGCATTGAAAGAGTAGTGAAGGGAGGTTTGGCAGGGTGGGCAGAGGACTCCACTAGACATCATCAGGAGGAGGGCTTCTGAGGTTGGGTGGAAGTCGCAGGAGGGCAGAGCAGAGTCCATAACTGAGGAGGCAGAGCAAAAGGTGTTTCTAAGCAACATCTGCCTTCTGAAACTGTACTCACGTCTATGGCCTATGGGAATAGGAAATGCTTTTGACTGCAAATAAAAGAAACCACAGCATACGGTGGCTTAAACCATAGGGCCATTTAGTGTTTACTTAACAGAAGTCTGAAAGTACATTTAAGCCACCAAAGATTTGGGCTCTAGATCACTGTTATCTTTAGGGGATCACACTTTCACCCTTATGCTGGATTCTAAGCCTACATATGCATCTCTCTTCAAGGCAGGAAGAAAGGGGTTCAGAGTGGGGCCTGACTGTGCATCTTTCCCTTTTATTAGAAAAACATGGCCTTTGTCTATGTCTCACTGGCAAGAACCAGATCACATACCCACCTTTTGAACAATTATTGGTTTTTTCTTTTGTTTTGTTTTTGGTACCGGAGATCAAACTCGGGTCCTTGCCCTTGTGAAGCAGGTGGTGGAACCACTGAGCTAAATCCCCAGCCCTTGAACAATTATTGACAAAGTAAAGTGGAATACCAAGAAATCAATTAAGACTCATTTCTTGGAGTTAAGGAGTTGGTTTGTGTTTTCTGAAATCAAAGGATTTCCGCCCACTAAAAAATACAGGCTCTGACAGGGGTGTGGTGGAGGAAAGGTGCTGGGTAGGTGAGGGAAAGTGCCTGGTGTTATCACTCCGGGCCATTTGAGTGGCTCCTTTCTCATGAATTCAGTAGGAACATGTTGCTAAGTAGCAAGAGAGCATGTGTCTTCTGGTCGAAACCTTCCGGAATGTCTACACTCCAAAAGGCCAGGGCACCTCTGTGGCGAAGACCAAGCTCATTCCTAACAACTGACACCAAACAACACACTCCGTTCTCTGGGCCTCAGTTTCCATCATCAAGAGAATAGACTAGTGGTTTTCTAAGAGGCTTTTTCCAGAGCCACGGACCCTCCCTCCCAGTTGGCCTTCTGCCTGTGCCAGATACAGCTCCTTGTCCCACCCTCATCCCCATTCCTTATGCCGTCTCACCTCAGAGCCTGTTCCACGCACCCACTCTCTGCTCCCAGCTGAGGCTCAGCCACTTGCAGAAGGCCATCTCAGGCCTTCCCCCATCTGTGTTTTGCCTCTAACAGATTTTAAAGAGATTCTACCCAAGAGCCTCACACTCTCTCTTCTCAGTGCCCGAAACAGACACTGGGGATGAAGGTTACCTGAACACATGATTCTGACCAGGATTCCTCTCTTGACATTTTCCTCAGGAACTTATGATGCTATAAAGATACTATATGTTACAAAGGCCAAGCACCCAGGCTCCTTACTCTCTGATCCCTGAATTGGGAGCTCCCGAGGGCAGGCTGAGGTCATCCTTGGGGAAGAACCTGGGCATCCCTCTCTGGCAGGGCTGGTGAGTTCAGCATCTGCCTGCTATAGGTGGAGTCTTCTCTCCTTAAACACCTCTTGCACACTCTCTAGGAGCTTTTGCTCTTGACTCCAAACAGGACATTAACCCACTAGCACAGAGTCCAGTCCTCAAAATGAGTAAGAATGGTCTTGGTAAGACCCTTCCGGTACAGTCTTAATTTTAAATGTAAAGACCAAATACTGGATTATCTGCTTAAAAACTATACCTAGTTGTCCCATTCTTAGTGCAGAATACCTCCCTCCAGGTAGTCTCATGGTCTCTTAAAAGCCTCATCTCTTAACCTACGAGGGAAACAATGTCTTCAGATTAAAAAAAAGTTTCACCCAGATGAATCTTGTACTTTGTGGGATAAGCTTTTACATTATGCAGTCAGAAGGTTGTCATTTCAGGTTGAAATATTTGCAATCAGATTCTCAGTTTATTTTATTTATGCCCTGAGCCAGGACTCACTTCCCTGCCCCAGTGACATCTTCCACATGCTTTCCTGATCTGCTGCCCAAGTGCACACTTCCACTTACAGAGGCACAGCCACCCCTCCTGGCAGTGCCCCCAATTCCAGCTCTCAAGGGTAGAAAAATATTAAGTCAATCTCAGAACATCTTTTTATCCAATCAAGAATTTAAAACTATGCTTTATAATACAAGTTGAATATGAACACAATACTAGAAATTCCAACAGTTACAAAAAGTATTGAGACATATCTCTCCCTCAGACTTTGAGTTCCCCGTGTCCCCTAAAGAAATGCCACCAAGGTTAACAGTTTCTTACATATCCTTCTAGAAACAATACATATATGAAAATTAGGTAAAGTTATATATTCCCTTTATTACATAGGATAAGTGTATTGTCTTAGTCTCTATCCCTCTACCCTGCATTAATTATTTATCTGGAGATCATTCTATTTCAAGACATTAAACTGGGCTAGTATCTTTTTCATTCAATAGTTCATTTTGTCTTTAAGTTGGGATAAAATAAAATTCAGTGAATAGCATTGACCTTAAATATACAATCCAGTAATTTTGACAATTACCATGTAATTAATACCCCAAGTCATTCACTCTCTCTCTCTCAGAATTCTTCTTGCCCCTTCCAGTAATCGGTTTCTCTTCTGGGCAAGTAGGTTCTGATTTCTGTCAGCGTAGACTGGTTTTGTCCACTGAGTGTCATAGATATAGAATCATACAACACATATTTGCTTAACAAAGTCGAAATTCATTCCTGTTGCTGTGTGTATCTGATCATTCCTTTTGTTGTTGTTGCTAACTAGTAATCCATTGTATGAATATAACACAGTTTGTCTATTCTGTTGGTGGACATTTGAGCCATTGCAGTTAGGGGGCATTATAAATAAAGCTGTTCTAAATCATCTCTGTACAAGTCTTTTTGTGGGCCTGTTTCTATTTCTCTTGGACATGTGCCTAAGCGTGAGACTTAGTTTTAAAAAGTTGTGTAATATTCCACTGTAAGTATGTACTGTAGAATAAGCAAGTCCCCTGTCGATGGGCATTTAGGTTGTGTCTGGTATATTGCTATTGCTGTCATAAACAAATCTGTGTATATATCTTTGTGTACTTATGTGTGAATAATACTTTCCTAGGATGACATGCTGGGTCAAGAGATGCGGATTTTCATTCTGAGACAGAAGTGGCCAAATTCCTTCCCAAAATGTTGAACTAATGTTATATTATCCAGAATTGGGGGTGAAACCTGCTCTCACATAACCTTAGCTGCTCCGCACTAAATCACAACCTTTGCTCATCCAATTATTGAGAAATGCTATCTCATGACTTTTATTTGTAATTCTTTGTCTTCTTTTCTTGGTGGTACTGGAACCTCATGCCTGCTAAGCATGTGCCCTGCCACTGAGATATACCCTGTGCCATGTGTTTCTTGAAGTTGTAAGGCTGAGCATTTTCCAAATGGTTATAATCCATTTGTTTATCTTTTTCAGTGGCATCTCTGTCTTTTGCTTATTTTCCCAAGAAGTATTTTTTAAGGATACCTCCTCACATTAATTTTAAAGAACTATTTATATATTAAAGAAATCAGTCATTTGTCAGAAATTTTTATATGTTAAGACCTCGAAAGATGTATTCCTCTTTTTCATTTTTCCCCTAGCCAGTTCCATATATTTTTCCATAACAGTTTCTGAATCAGCTTCTCCAGTGTCAAAATACTGGTTCTCTGGCTGGCATTGACTTCTCTGGCCAGTTCTCCTGTTCCTTTTCCCCTCACTTGCTCCAGGGTTTCTTGACCTCAGCTCTACTGACATCTTGGACTGAATAATTCTTTATTGTAAGGGGCTGTTCTGAACACTGTAGGATACTGAGCAGCATCCCGACTTCTATTCACTACATGCCAGTAGCAACTCTCTTTCCACATCAAACTGTGACAATGAAAAATGTCTCCGGTCTTTGCTAAATGTCTCCTGGAGAGCAAAATCACCCAAGACAGAGAACCACTGACTCCCTCTGTTCCAGGGGCATGGATCTTGCTATCTAGAGTATGAAAAGTCTATTCTTGTCCCTACTGTGCCTTTAAATCTTTGCTCAAATATATTTCTCAGCCCATTTTAAACTACAACTCTCTCACCTGCCCTGCATCCTCCATACCTGTCTTTTCTCTATTCCACTTTTCATTTTTTTTACATACTATGTAATTATCTTCTTCTATGTCATATCTACCTCTCCTCTGTCTCTAAAAAGGTAAAGTGTAAAAGGCAAGGGGTTTTTGTGTATCTATTTTCATCACCCTTGGGTCCCTTATACCTCTAACACGTCTGGCACACAGAGGGTACACAATAAATACTGGATGAATGAATGCTTCAGGATGGGTTATTAGATTCAATTAGATGAGAAACAATAACTTTACAGCGTCATGTCCTGCACAAGAAAACTGTTTTTCCTCATATTAAACTTTTCTTTCACTCTCCTTCTATGATGTTTTAAAAGTTTTTTTATAGATGAGAAATTTGGGAAAAAAATTCTTTTAGTAATAAACATGGGCCCAACCTTTCCAAATTTTTCCGCTTAGCAGATTTGGGAAGCTAAACTGCCCGACTCTTGGGGGTGGGTATGGTCTTCCGTCAAGGGGTCAGGCCCCTGGACCTTCCCTCACTGGTGATCCTCAGGTCTGGGGTCTGGAGGTACTCAGTCAGGGTCTCTCTTCCCCATCACTCAGCCCAGAGTTCTCAGATCACATCTTCTGCTGTAGCTGGTAGAGCACCCCAAATGTTCATCTCCTCCTTCTCCTTAAGGGATCCTTAGCTGACGGACATTGAAGAGACACAGTTCAGGGCAATCCCACTGAGAGGGGCTTTCCCCCAAACGGCTCCATGGTATAACCCTGGATTCCTTCCTGTAAGAAGAGATGCTTGTCTCTGCATTCTTTGGGCCAGATGACAAACAGGCTGAGGTGATTTGCCTTCCCTGGCCAGCTCACTAGACGTATCAGGTGATGTCTCACATCCACCGTCTTCACTGGCTTCACTATAGGGTGCAGTGGAGTAGGGTGCTGAGGAGAGACCTCACCTTAGTAGGCTCTGAGAGGTCATGGGTGAAGGGGCCTCTTTTGTCCCCCCAGACTCTTCTATCAGGCCTCTCCTGTCCAGGCCTGACTTGCAGGAGGCATTGATGGACTCTGCACTCTCTTCTCTAGCTGTGGTTCCTTGCCTAGGCAATGGGCACGGCCACCCTGGCAAGACTCTGGGGACCCTGAATTGATAGTGTCAGCCACTGCTGCCCCTGCCCACAGTCTTCTTTCTTGCAGTACCAAGAAGGATGCCTGCCAGGACCACATGAGTTCCACCCTACAATCAGGTAACTGATTGTGCTGGAGGTATCCTCCAGAGGGCCTGAACCTGCGGCCTGGCGCCACTCAGGGCAGTAGCAAGACTTTAAGCACTGAGCGCCAAAAGATGGTAGTGCTCCGAAGTCAACAGAAAGTGAGATTACGTTTATGAGTCGACACCAGTGACAGTGACAGTTGGTGTGGAAACTGCTGTGTGGTGTCCTGCCCGTACCCTAGCTAGGCAGTGAGTGCTCTGCCTTTGTGACTCCTGCCCCTATGGAAACCCCAACAGCCTTGCTCAGAGCGTGGAACTCCAAGACCTGGCAGACAGCTCTGGGCTATTTCTGAGGCTTGGCAGGCCAGGCCTACAGCCTGCAGGGCGTCTGGGAGCAGGCTTCTGCCTGCTGCTGGGCTGCGGCAGTGTCCTGCGGTTCACCACTTCACATTTATAGCTACAGTGCTTCTCAGTTTACTGTGCCTGCAGTGGGAGGCTTGGCTCTCTGGAAACTGTAGCTGCGGTTTTGGGTGTCTGCCCGATCCGATGCTGAGGGACGCTTGGGCTTGGGCTTGCCCTGATCCCTTTTCTGGAACTTCACTGATGCTGGAAGGAGCTGCTGTCATACAGAGGGTCCCTTGGGACTCCTCCCCCAGGCTGGTGTCCTGTTAGGAGCAGGGTTCCTATCAGAGGGTGGGATGCTCCTTGGGACCCCTGAAGACAAGCGAGTGGACAGAGGGGATGAGAGTCGTGAGAATGAAGAAGGGACAGAGGCAGTGAGAAAGGTCCTCTTGGCCCCCATGATGCCACAGGCAGTGCTGTTTTCAGAGCCACTGGCTCTTCTTCTGTTGCCAGGAGCCAAGGTGGGCCCATCTGGGGGCTCACAAAACAGGCTGGGTCACCTGGCACTTGAACTTTGATGAGTGCTTAAAATGGCTTTAAGGAAAATCAGAAAACATCAAGAGCAGTTTTGAGCACGGCTTGGTGGTGACGCCTGTAATCCCTGCACTCAGGAGGCTGAGGCAGGAGGATTGCTGTGAGTTTGAGGTCAGGCTGGGCTACATAGTGAGTTCAAGACCAGCCTAAATTATAGAGACCCCCGTCTCAAAAAGAACAAGAAAGAAAGAAAAAATAGATTTATATCTGTATCTATCTATATCTGTATCTGTCGTTTCTGAGCTACAAGACTACTGCTCTAGAATTTGGATTTCTTTCCCGATTGCAGTAGCCAGCCATGGACCTTCCCTGCCTCACTCAGTGACTCGGTTGGTCCTCTTCACAGGCCACTCCCTTTGGCCATGAGGAGTCTGAGGGTTGGGGGAGTTTAGGGAGGTAGGTGAGGTCTCTAAATTTTGCCAACTGTAGTGCACTCTGGCTCCAAAAGCTCAGCTCTGCACCATGGCCCTGTATGTTGTCTGAAGGAGGGAGTGGCAGAAGCTGGCCCAGGAGAAGCATGGCTGGATCCTCTGTGCAGCAACTGTGAGCCCGCACCACTGTGGTCAGTCACAGACTGACTCCATGCCTGCCCCACTCCCACCCCCATACACGCCAGGGCCCTGGGCTGCCTCCAACCTCTCCTCAGTAACTCCTGGATCAGGGAGGGAAGGCAGGAGGGAGTCTGGGGCCAGGCATGAGACAGGTCCACTGGACGTCTGCAAGCTCACACCCTGCAATCGAGGGGAACCCCAGAGGGCAAACGGGGAGGGCACAGAGGGCAGGTAGGGCCATGATTACCGGGTAGGGTGTAGAAGGGCCCCATAGGAGGGCAGGGCTCACCTTGAGGAGGTAAAGCAGGAGGGCTGCAACCTAAAAATGGAGCAGACTGTCACATAAATAGGATACCTACTGGATGTGTTTCTTTTTTAAAGTTAGAATTTATTTCAGTGTTCCCGTCCTCAGCAAACAGTCCTGGCATGCCAACAACCCCTTGTGGTTTCAGCCCAGTGACATGGGCAGCTACTTAGTTCGGGTCATGGTGGCCTTAATGTCTTTTTTTTTTGAGGGGGGGTGTTGGGGATTGAACTCAGGACCTTGTACTTGCCAGGCAGTCTCAGTGCCACTGATGTGAGTCTGAAGCAGTGTTTACAGGTGTGTGTGTGGGTGTGTGTGTGTGTGTGTGTGTGTGTGTGTGTGTGTTTGCACCTGCAAAGAGCATTTCAGTTCTCTGCTAGATGCTTGGTCTGTGCTGAGGGCTGGGATCACAGAGCAGAACTAGACCCTGTCCCTGCCCTGGAGGACAGACCCAAGTCAATAACTCCTTGTATAGAGGAAGTCAAGGTTAACTTGACCTGAGCGAACCAGAAAAGGCTTCTTAGGATGAATTCCAAGCAATGTTTTGAAAACAAGTAATTTTTCAGGCTTTCCATTTTTCTTACAAAGGATAGTTACCGAGCACCTACCATGTACCATATTTTGATCTAGTAAGAAACACACAGGAAAAATGTCCTGTCTGGGAAGTCTCGAAGGAGGCAGTCTTGTGGATGGCGACAACGGGGGAAGCAGCGTGTACCACCAGTCCTTCTAGGGAGCTTCCTTAGGCCTACGTGCTTAGTAAGGTGCCGTGAACACTAAAGCAGCCGAGCTGTGGGGGCAGGGCTGGTGATTTCAGGCCATTCCCTATGAACTATATGAACTATGTGCAGACAACTGGCTTCCAGCTTCACTCCTTTACATGAGCTCAGTGTCCCCAAGCTGCACACTTTACTTCTCTGAACTCTATGTCCTCATGCCTCAAGTAGAAATTTCAATGGCACTGGTCACGCACCTCTCTGGCAGGGCAATGTGAGAAGTAATTGAGAAGGCACGTGTGTCAGACAGAGCTAGGCCCTGGAGCTTATGATGAATGGGAGCTGTTTTCCCTTCCCCTCCAGGGGCATAGGGAGGCTAAACCAGGTTTAGGAGGGTCATATGGAGGAAAGGCAGGCGGCATTCCTGACCCCTGCCCGGGCTCCAGGTCAGTGACTGGGGACCTTTCCACCCTTTCTCCATCTGGGGTGTCACTGCGGGGCAGAGGTATGTAGATCCACTGGGAAGGGAACCTTGATTGGCCAAGGCATGGTTGCTCACCAGGGCTCCCCCCTTTGTGTAATGCCAGCCTGTCTGACGATTACTATGCCAAACATCCAGGGCTTGGTCCACCTCCATCCCCCAACCACCTCCCTACCCATGTCATGGCCTGGGGAAAGAAATATTTAGAAACCTTCCAGAAGGGAGTTGTTCCAAAATAGGTTTGACCAAGGATAGTGCTCACCTTGGCTCTCCAGGACCCTAGTTCAGACTGAGGCCCAGGGCTGGGGTTGGGCAACACCATGGTATCCCAACTGCTCACAAGCCATAGACGGCCTCTCAAAAACCTGGTGCTGATCTGGCCTTTGAGCAGGCTTCCAGGGAGGGACTCTGACAAGACAGGCCTTGTGAAAGGCCTGTTACCTGCCAGTGCTTGGCATCCAAAATAGAATCTTAAAGGGCAGCAAACCCTTTAATTCAATGTGTCCCAACAGCAGGTTGATGTGGGGATAACTATGATCTGACTGGTCTTGAGCCATAATTATGGAGTCAGAATAAAAAATTATAGGCATTGTGAGGGCTGGCTTTAAATATAACGTAATCCATACTGTCCTGTCTCTTATTTGCTAGATTTGAGGTGAAGTCTTTGGCAGTTGGCATAGATTTTGCCTGACGTGTAGCAGATAAAAATGGCTCTTTCCCAGAGAAGAGGACATGGTGGGAGGTCTCCCCAGACCCCTAGTTTTTCCTGCCTCCTGCAGCCACATGCATGTATTCATCTGTGCCAGTCCTCTGTGTTGATCACATTATTGGTATCTCCCCAGCTGGCCTTCCTGTCTCCAGTGCCCCCACAAGTCAGTCCACCAGAAATGTCTCTGTAAAACTTGGCCCTGATGCCTAAGAACTCATTAATAGTATCCATCTGTCCAACTTCCCTCATGACAAACAGCAACTAGAGAGTAGTCTCTCTACCCAGCATTTGGGGAACAGTAAGTAATAGGTGTCCATCTGAAAGATTATTATGCAAGGCTGGGGATGGAGGTCAGTGGCAGAGCACTTGTCCAGCTTATGGAAAGACCTGGGTTCAGTCCCCAGTACTAGAAAAAAGACTATTATGTAGTCATTAAAAGTGTTTGTGAAAGCCGGACATGGTGGCACACGCCTGTAATCCCAGCACTTGGGAGGCTGAGGCAGGAGGATCGCTCTGAGTTCGAAACCAGCCTGGGCTACATAGTGAGTTCCAGGTCAGACTCAACCACATAGTGAGACACTGTCTTAAAAAACAAAACAAAACAAAACAAAAGTGTTTGTGAGGGATATTTTACTATGTTGAAAATCTTATATTCTAAACAAAGTAGAAAGAAAGCATATATATGATATTAGTAATAAAAAAGTAGATGAGCATAGAAAAAAGTTGAAATGGAAATATAACAGCAGTTATCTTTGATGAGCTGAGGTGGGGGTTGATATTTTCCTCTTTATAGTTTTTTATATTTTCCAAATATCCTAGAAATTGGCACGCATTGTTTGTAGAATAATAATTATTTTAAAAGCCAAATGCTAAAAGTTAAACAAAATGATAGAATGAGAATATGAAGTCTGAGTTACCTTCTGGCTTTTAACAATCTGGGACTCTAATGCTCTGGGACCACTGTCCGGGGCTGAGAGGGGACTATAGAGAGCCAAACTCTCAGGACCCAACTGCCTCATGACCAGCAGCAATGGGGCAGGTGCAGTGCCCGGAGTCAGCAGTTGGCCTGCCGTTAGGGATTCACCAAGTGCACCCTCAAAGACTTCCCTCAAGGTCAGCTGCCCCTTTCTGAAACTCCTCAATGTCATTGGAAGTACAAGAGCCCTCCTCTTATACTCTAGTTTCGCTTCAGATTATATAAATCTTTCACCTTTTACTAAAGAGCCCTCCTCTGGCCCTGCTAGTCCACGGGGTACTAGTGGCCCTCTGTCTACCTGAGGCCTAGAGGGTTTCTGCCTGAGAGGTAAGCTCTTTCCACCGCCTCAAGTGGCTTGCTAGAGCAGCAGGCAGGCCATTGGAGCCACAGTCTCCTCCATGGGCCCCTCTGCCATCCCCATCTCCGGAGCGGGGATTCCACTCACTGGCTCTTTCAGAACACATATTCCCAAATGCCTAGTCCCGCAGACCCACCTAGCCAGTTCCCTGAGGTGGCGCACCCAATACACTTCATTGGAGGAGATTACTGAGGGGCACTCCCAGCTACTTCTTCAATCTCAGAGCCCCTGGATCTGACCCAGCAGCAAGACAGCCCAGGTGAAGTCATGCGGAGAGATAAAAGGGGCCCTTGATGAGGTGGAAGGAAGGGTACCATCTGAATTCAGAAATATAGCTCAGGTGAGGGAAGCCTCAGAGACCACAGCCTAGAGCCTGGTGCTTGGATCCCTATGCCCAGGTCTGGTAGCAGCTTATCAGGACTTGGCCACATGCCTGGCCAATTAAAATCAGAGAAGAGCTGAGAGAAAGAGACAGTCAAGTCAGGCTTAAAAGAGAGAGAGAGGGAAAGAATGATAGCCAGCCAAAGGCAGACAGAAATAATGGCTGAGAGGCAGCAGGGAGGCCATTAGCAAGAGTAGACTTACATCAGCACCTACATACAGGCTCATTCTCACTATAATCACGGAAATGCAAATTAGAGCGATCCTAATGTGCCATTTTACACCTACTAAATTAGTAAACATTAGCAAAAATTATAAAGTCTCATGCTGTTGAGCCTGTGGTAAAACCACCTGAAACACACTGCCAGCAGCAGTGTGAATTAGCATAGCCTTTTGGTGAAGAAATTGGGCAGCAGGGTTCCCGAGCTATTACAATGCTTATACCTTCTTTTCGTGTATAGTAATTCCATTCCTGGAAATGTGTTGCAAGGAAGTAGAAATACAATAGAAGAGGTCTGTACCTAAAAATGACAAGCATACCCAACAGGCTACAGGATGCCACTGTGAATATTTTTAAAAAGGGAATAGGAGGACTGAGTCTAGGGTAACATTTCAGGATTCTTAAGTGAAGATAAGCAACAAAGAAAAACACATGTACATTAAAATTAGTAATTATATAAAAATAGCCACCTGAAAGAATAAGGTGGCCCCACCCTTTCTAGGGAACCGTGAATGCTACTTGATTCTGACTTGTCAACCAGCCGCTCCTGTCATCCCACGAAGGAGCCTGCCCTGCGGTTCCCCGTCTGGAGCAGCCCAGACCATGAAGCCTGATCCGCAGACCTCAGGCTGGCAAGGAGAAAGCGTCAGTAGAGCCTGCCCACCCAGACAACTCATGCAGGTGGCAACGAGGGATTTGGAGAGGGACTTTTGAGTTACACCCACTGAGGTGTGGTTCTGACGTCACACCTCGAGAGGCCCAACCAGAAAGAAAAGGAATAGTGGATTTGGGTCTTCATTTAAGTATAAAGGATAAAGTGGTTTTGCAGATTCTGAAGTGTCTTGCTGTTTGCAAGCGCAGCACTCTGTTTAAGCCAGCCTGACATCTGGAGCATCACCGGTGAAAGCAGCTTAGAACAGATGAAGTCAGAAAAAGGAGGGACCCTGAATCATACAGCCCTTCCCTCATGGTATCTTCCCTCAGCCCCTCGTGCGATCAAAGAAGCTGGCAGTCAGTGGGCATTTAGTAAATTGTGGGTGGAAAAGGCAAGGGGAACGAGACCACGTAGTATACCAATGCATGTGTCATCACACAATTCCTTCTTTATTCAAAGCTTGTTTCAATTTCTAAATGTGCCCCTAATCGTGTTGTGGGGGTATTACACCCCTTGTGC